ATGAGCTTGTGGGTCTCTTTTCAGTCATTGGATCCAAAGTAATGTATTTCTACAGAGCACTGAGCATAGTTTCCGAGTCTCAGATATCTACTTTTACTGAACAAAAAACAGAGTTTGAAAGCCTACTGTAGGTAATGAATGAGAATGCAGAGACTGAGACTGTGTCCTCAGTCAAGCTTCAGTGCAATTCTTCTAGAGATTTATTTCATCAGCGAATGCAGTTTCCATAATCATATCTGTGTCCTCATATTAGAAAGATAATTAACAGCACTAATGATCACGTTAAGTTCATTACACATTCACTGCCAGCCCAGAATGAAGTTGACATTATGTTGCCTTATCATCAAAGGTGGCGTATTGTTGGGAAGTCATTAAAATGGAAATGAGTGTGATGTTCTGATGTTAATTGCAGAGGGGAGAGATGAGTTATGTATTTAATGCAGAATTTAAAAAGCCAATGAGGTTCCTATCTGCTAAATAGGGTAATTAATGCTATATATTACTTATGTTTGTCCAAATGAAGGAATGAAATTAGGAGATGATGACGCTGACTTGCTGTTTATCTGTCACAACACGGCTCTAGTTCGCAAACTTCATTATTACTCTCTTTTTTGTCTGTAATATTTCTATAATCTCCCCTCAAATTACTCCTTTATTTCTTTCTCTGCACAACTTCTCATTTGGATAGGCAGTCAGTCATTTAGAGAAACAGTTTTCATTCTCCAGAGGGCTTGTCAAAGTTTGTCGTCAACTTTTACGCATGGGTTTATTCTGAAATCATGTTGAATGTTTTCATCTCTTGTATTACAGAAGTAGTTGCTTTTTTATTGAACTTTAAATCAATTATTGCATTCATGGGGTAATGCCACAAAACGCAAAATTAGCATCTGTAAATAAGACTCGAAATAAAGAGTTACTGCATGTTCATTCAGTCAATTAAATGGCTTTCCTGGGTCAGCTGTGAAGATGGACACATGTTGTTTCACTAGTCTCTCAGCGAGCACTGCTGTGATGATGGGCTTAATGAAGCTGTTAACAGTCAGTATATGATCCCAGTGTGTCTGCTGAACATGAGCATCCTGCAGTGTCAACACGGCTCTGTTTTGGGTTTTTCCATTTTTTCTTTTCTTTTTCTTTTTTAATAGACAAATATACACTCACTCACACACAATAAAGGCCCACACACTTTTACCTTGCCCTTGACTCTGGCATGGCTCAGTGATATTAATGTTTATGTTAATTAGATCACACCAACAAATGATTACATTTCCAGACAGGGTTATTGTAACACTGTAGCCACTAGCTTATTTTGCCCAGTGAATGCAATTTAGAACAGATGTAATTGTATGAATGCATTGTAATTGCATGAGGAAACAACAATACCATTATGAATATACAATCTTTGTGAACATGATGTGTGTGCGTGTGTGTTGTGTGTGCACAATATGAGCTAGGGGAAGAGCGATTGTGCCACCCGCTCTTTTCATTTGCACCCATCAGGTTACTCTCTTTTCTTTGTAGGAGTTTCTGTCCTGCATGGAGTCACATCGACAGAGAGGCCACATCATGTTTGAGAATATGAGGACAAACCATTTGCAGGTTTGACAGAAATGTTTCCATAAATATACTGAAATAAATGTTATTGAAAAGCCAAAATCGGATTTGTAATAATGTGCATCTCTGTCTCATGTATTCCCTCTAACACGGGCCCGCTTCTGCATCCAGTTACAAGCCACTGAATGGGAGCAAGTGAGCTCCAAGTGGCTACACGTGGAGGCCGAACTGCTCAGGGAGAGAGCTGTGTTCGGCCCTGGCCCAGGGGTGCTGCTGAACCGAGACTGGGTGCAAGATGCCGCTGAAGGACCCAACCGGACTAGATCACGCATACGGAGAAGGGCTCTGAGACGATCCAAACGGGTAGCCTTTTAGTGTAGAGCAGGGTCCTATTTAGTGTTCAACTACTAAGCAGTCCAAGCTTTTAACAGTGACATATGTTATAACAGGTGCAAGGAACCCTGTGTCTGGGTTTAAGGAGTGGTATGTCGGAGGAGACCAAAAATAAAACAGAAGGTGATACAGGTAATGAAAAGTTTTGCCTGTTGATTTTTTTTAAAACCTTACTTTTACCAGAATGTTGGTGTGGGATGCAAGCTCAGTGGGAAAATGTGTTTCCTTTGTAACAGAGCCCAAGATCCTGTGTGAAGTTGGAGCAGAGGCTAAAGAAGATGAAGAGGAGGGAGCACAGGATTGTGACCGTCTGACCTTCTTCCCTGTTCTGAATGAGACACCTGATCCGTTAACCCCCGAACCCTGCTCCCACACACAGGACTGCCCCAACATACGCATCATCCTGCAGAAGTTGCACCCTGCAGAAGAGGTACTGTAGTGCAGGAGGGTGTGCTGGTATGCTTGGCTAAAAACAACATGCCTAAACACAAGCACAACTCCTTCTCACCCTGCTAATATTCACAATCATAATTATCTGATGTAGACTAAGGGATTCCAATAGCCCAGCGCTGCTATCAGAATTTCATCTTTCCTCATTAGTGTAATGTTTTAATGTCGAGGCCCAGCTCAGCTCTTCTCATTCTTCCAGCGAGTTAGAAACCAAGGCACATGTTGACAGGGACTCTCATCGCTCCGGCAACCAGCCGCGGCTTTTAATGTTTCTGACAGAAGTATTAATAAAAACAGTAGGAGGTGATGCAAGCTGTCTTACATCCGCTTAGTAAGTGTGTGATGTGTGCAGTGTGTCCTGTTGTCTTGCAGTGGTTCAGTGTGTGAGTCCTGCTGAGCTTCCTGTCAAATGAACACAGTCATTAGCTCTGAAAAATGCGCACACACACACACGGACTAACACACACAGTAACACACAAAGGGAGACCCACTCATAATTAGCTTGCCAGCGCCAATAGTGTGATTATGACAGTAATGTGTGTGGGGAGAAATCAATGGTCTGACATTAGGCTCTCAGTCAATAAAAGTCCTCCTTTTCTCTCCTTCCCATCATCAGCTAAATCATCCACAGAATGATAACGCATATCTGTCCAGAGCACAGTAAGGAGATAAGGAAACAAGTTTATTGTTATGTATTTAATCTTTAATAACAATAAATTTAACTAGTTTTTTTCTGAAATCTAGTCATTGTTAGGGAGAGAAGGCCTGATGCCACTTTGTGTTCACTGATGGAAACTGCCATAAAATCTGACCATGATATCGCTCAATGTAAGATTTCTGTGCCATGTAGCTGAGACTCACTCACCTTGACTCTTCTTAAATGCTTTCACATCCATATCCATCATAGTGTGTGTGCATTCAGACAAGAGGTTCTGATCACTTAGCAGGTTTCCTATTGTGTGTGTGGCAGTGATTAATTCTCCTAATAATGGCCAGGCAGGGTGTCCTCCTCCGCCAAGTGTGTGACTCTGTGTCTGGGGGTAGGGAGTCTTATTTGATTAGTATAAATTGTAAGGGGCCTGCGGGTATGTCGGTGCCCCATATGGTTTTTGGGCCCAGCCAAACACACGTACCGGTGTCCCAGAGGACCTGCAGAGGGGCCAACACAGGGCGACAGCCAGGTGCACACAGTCACTGTGAAATGAAGGGAGACAATAGAATTAGCCACACTTTATCACAATGCAGTTAGCATTAGCTACAACCAGCGCTGAAAGCAGCATGTGGGTCAACTTTGGCACTGGATGAAACACAGTCACATGGCTGAAAAGGGGGCTGGGACTTCTCTTCCCCATCAATCAGCTCTTATAATGAAGTGTTCAACTGTGTCTTTTTAATAATGATTAAAATATGTGATTAAAATGATCAATCAAGTAAAGCCCGAAGTGCCTGCGATGCTGCCATGTCATGTCCCGAGAGAGAAATGTGCTGATGTGTATTGTGCCTCTCACATGGTGCTCAATGTATCTCTTTTCTCTATTCTCTCCTCACTGTAGGTAAAGGCTAAGATGTGTGTAGTGATGGTGAGCAGCCTCAGAGTGACAGAGGGGGTGCTGCTGTTTGGGAAAGAGAGCCTGCTCTTGTGTGAGGAATTCACTCTTAGTCCTGCTGGAGATGTTTGTTGCAGGAAACACCACCCCAGCAGGTACGGCTATGTGTGCTGTACAGATGCGTGCAGTTACACCAAAACTATAGCTTCTCAACCAGTCATATTTTGTCCTCTGTGTCCTTTTCTTTCTCTGCCAGTGTGAGGGATTCCTTTATTTCCAATATGCTGAGTCAAGAGCCGACATTAGCCAGCTGCAGACGCTGGCCCTACGAGGATATCAAGGAAGCCCGCTTCATGCGTTTCCTTTTAGAGGTTTGACGTCCAAATGCTCCCACAGATGCTTTGAATTAACATTCATCTTATACTCAGGTTGTGGTGTTGTGCATTTTACTTGCTCTTGCACTTGTTTCCCATTAGTTGTTTCTGCATGTAAATTAGAGAATCAATCATTTGCATGTTAAGTCTAGAGTTAAAAGGGATCTGATGGATAAAAATATCAACTAGAAACAAATTTCTCAAACACTCTGCCTTTCTGTTACTTTCAGGACAATGCTATTGAGGTCTTCATGAAAAATGGGCATTCAGCCTTCCTGGTATTCCTGAATAGAGACCATGTCTCTGCATATAAAAGGTACCATATTTGTATAGACTGGATGTTTTATCTTCAGAATTCTGACAATGATCCTTATTGTTTCCCCTCACTTTCTACCTGCAGGTTGTGCACGGTAGTGCCAGCATTAAAAGGCAGAGGGGTTGCTGAGGTCATTGCTAATGCCAGGTAAGTGTCCACAGTCATCCAAACAGCAATATTTCAAGACCGTTACATGTAATCACTCTCTTTATTTCATCAATTGAAATGAAAAAATACATCAATGATAGTGTGACAAATGGCTAGATATTATGCATATGAATATTATTATGAATATAATTAAAGATTTTATGGCTACCTAAAAGTGACATTCATTCCATTTGTTTCATAGTTTAAGATGCCGTCAGCAGCTGTTTTGTCATTTGATTGACTTGTGTTCTACCTTTCTTACTCTCCACACATCTTGATTGGCTGTTGCCACGGAGTTTGGCACCATCAGTCCTGGATAAGTCCTTATCCTTTTGTCCTCAAACATGTCTCCTCCTCCTCCAACTCTTCCTATTCTTCCTCGTGTAAGCCTTTCTGTCTGCTCTTTACATCTCTTAAGGCATGTCCTACACAGGCTGCTCTCATGGACCAGGTACACATCTTCCTCTGGTTCTGATTTTTCACCATCCCCCTGAGCATACGATAGAGGATTTCGTTTCATGTTCACCTTAGTGAGGTTGCGTAGGGCTTTCACAAACTCTGGCAGCTGGATGAAGAGGTTATCAAACAGGCCTAACTCTTCCAGGCTGTCTAGAGCCACCATAGTGGGAGGCAGGCTGTCCAGCCTGTTCATCCCCAGATTGAGACTCCTCAGGCTGGCGAGAAAACCCAATGTGGAGGGTAAACTTGAAGAGGTTAGGCAGTTGTTTGAGAGGTTGAGGTGGGTGAGTCCCACCAGGTTGCCAATGGACTCAGGCACAGACTCTAGCTTGTTGCTGTGGAGATCCAGCCACCTGAGTGATGAGAAGTTCCCAATGTTATCTGGGAGTCTCTGTATCAGGTTGCGGCTGAGGTCCAATTCGTCCACATTAGACAGTTTGAGGAGACACTTTGGGAAGATGGTTATACCCATGTTGCTAAGGATGAGTCTGCGCCGTCCATCTGGGGTCATCCGTATTGCCTTTTTGGCAATCTTGAGCGTTATCTTTGTGCCTTTGGCTCCCTTCCCTTTGGGCATGGTACTGCAACACAGAGAATCAAAGTTCAGTTTAAAATTTCATCACTTTAGTGATAGTTGCCCTCAAGATGCTGATTTACAATAATCTATCTACTCTATACCACCAAACAGTGCTATAACAAATAAATGTTTTGAGTGTGTGTGTGTGTGTGTGTGTGTGTGTGTGTGTGTGTGTGTGTGTGTGTGTGTGTGTGTGTGTGTGTGTGTGTGTGTGTGTAAGGCTGATGTGATTTACTCAGATACAAGGGCTTATGTATGGCCTCGGGCAGCAGGGAAAGCATGCTCTCTGAGGTATGAGAGCTTGAGCGGTGTGAGTGTCTCTGTGAGTGCATATGCACATGTGTCGTAGTGTTATGTCTGCACTAGTGCGTGCTCACCCAGTGTTGCCCATGGGGGTATTTAAGAGCACGACTCTCTAATTAAGGCTAATGCAGGGGAACAATAGGAGAGAGGCGACACTGGGTAATACAGCAAAAACAAATGAGTGCTGATGCTCCCTCACCATTCAACTGATTGAGCTGTTGGGCTCTTTTCAGGCAAGGACTCTGTGTGTGTGGGGGGGGGGGACAAACATGGATGTACTATACTACAGTGCACATGCACAAAGAGTCAAATCAGGACTTTGATAAATGATAGTTGGGGAGTGTTGGGAGTGTGATGAGGGCTTCACTCTTCTCCCCTCCCTGTCTAAAAGAGCAAGGTGTGTGTCTGTTTGTGTCTGTGTTACACCCCAAGGCCCTCTCTCGCCTCATTCATCATCCTCAAGATGAGAGAGGTTATTCACTGGTGCTTGTTCCCATTATAACCTCCTATAGAAAACTATTGCATGAAATTATTGCCAGCAATTAGATAACACATACTGGGCCAAATGCAATGATTGATTTATTGTAGTTTTACAAAATAATTTGGTCAGGAGCTACCGGATGAGGGGAGGAGTTACCGGTGTTAGAAATTGGATACACTCCAAGTAGCTCCTCACTCTCTGAACCCATTTACTGTATGCATCCTGATTACATTTTAGTTGGTATCCTACTGTATTCTTGTTTAAAACTTTTATTTACATTTCCAACATGAATGAAAATATTTACTCACCATATTTTATCTTTGTTTTTTCTGAGTTGACATCAATCAAGTGATGAGATTGTTTTCAGTTTTAGAAGAAAATACCAACAGCTTTAGCTCCTGTGAAACGGCCATTCAGCTTGAAGCTTCTCACCTATGTACCACAAAAAAAACCTCCATTACTGTAGTCGTAATGTTAGAGCACAGCAACAAAACATAAACACTTTAAAACTACATACCCATAAAACTAAATGGTCAGCATTTAGAAGTTGTACTAATAATACCTGCTAATCCAATCTCACAAAATGTGGCGGTAAAGTCAAGTAGATGATCAAGAATGCACCATTTGTGTATATCAGCATTTCCCTATCCTCGCTACACCAAACGGAAAGTCAAGGTTCCTCTTGTTTAATAGCGTTTCTTAGCAACAGGGGTGCTTGGCGCCAGGACTTTATTGCCATGTTACTGGCCACAGAGGGAAAAGACATTTCAGGAGCAGTTTAATGCTTTCATAATTTAGATTAAACAAGTTTAGATAGGTGCTCCACGAGTGAAATACTAATGAAATGTTCAGCAACATTGTCATATAGTATAGATGTTTTGTTTAGCCAAACACACGTACTGGTAGTTTAACTGGTAACAAGACATTTTGAGTAGACAGCTTTTGTACTCAGCAGTAAGTATGTCCCTCTTTTTGAGCACACTTTGAACCAACTACCTATGAATCAGGAAATCTTACACATTTTTCTTGTAAATTAGTGAACTGCTCTGAGACAGACATTTGAAAGAAAGATGTTGTTCCTGTTTGACCAGTAATCATTAACGTCTGCATGTCATTTTAAAAACTCACTGTACAAGGAACATACTACTTCCTCTTAGCTCAATTTGCTGTTAGTCTGACAAGTTACAGTGTTATCTAAAGTACATTTCTTCACAACCTACAGGTGGTACCACATGCTACATCCTCCACATTTGTACAATTTATGCTACACACTGTAGCTCACCTCAGTCTCATAACTGCTCCTACAGCTGTGTACACACAATTTATGTTTCACCTTTTCACCTCCGCTCTGCTGCTTCAGAACTCTGCTGTGTTACATTTCAACACTGGTTGCTGGGCAACAAAGCAAGCAAAATAAAACTTTGTGTTGGTAGGCGCTGCTCAGTGATCAGCCTCTGATGCTAATTCAAGGTATTTGTTCTTTATTGCGCTTTAGGAAGACTCCTGTGGTTGAAAAAACAGCCCTTGTTAAATGGCAGGTAATGCAATAAAAACAGCCATTCATCCATTTTGTTATCTCAGAGTTGTTTGTGTTTACAGATCATCAGTAGAGACATGCCAAAATGTTTAATAGATGTGACATTAATAGTAACTAGGGTTGGGTATCGTTTAAAATTTTACAATACCAGTACCAAAACCAGTACCCTTAAAGTGATACCAACACCAACAGAATACTTCATTCATTACCTTGCTATTTTTGTTATCGACAAAAACCTGTTATATAAAAATATAACATAATATAAATACAGATCGCTCTTCATCCTAATTAGGTCATCCTTAGAGGAATCACAACAGCTTGGGAGTTTTTTTGTCGCCTATTTGAATAAGAGAGGAGTGAAACAGTTTAGTGACCACATGAGTTGTGTAAATAGCAAATAAAAATGTACAGAGTAGTGTTAAATGATACCAGAAGATGAAACCAACAGAAAGCTAAGCTTGTGGTGATGAACTTGCAACAGTGACAAACATGTCTGAGCCCGCCGCCGAAGGTGAAGGGGCTGTTAAAATCACACATGGACTTACAAGCGGGTGCAGGCCAATAAGGGGAAAAAAGAGCAGTGCACTTTTCTTTCTTTCGGTGTGTTGCTTGCGTGTTTGGCTGCAAGCAAAACCATAAAAATAAATTTTTTTACAAAAAGTAAACGGATCAGTACTGGTTTGACTGGAGATGTTTCGATACTACTCAATACTGTGCTTTTTCAGTCACTACTCGATACCCATCCCTAATAGTAACCCACTTCCAGTTTATAACTATGTTCTTGTGTTTTGTGAGGGTGGTTATCTGCTTCATATTACTCTTGTATGTCCTCCAGAGAGGAGAACTAAGTAACTTTGAGTACTTGATGCATCTGAACACCATCGCTGGGAGGACATACAATGACCTGATGCAGTACCCAGTCTTTCCCTGGGTCCTATCTGACTACGAGTCAGAGGTAGGATCTTATGTCTCTTAGACTTGAACATTCATATTTCATTGTAGCTTAATGGAAGTGTTTGAATTATCTTTGTCTTATAGATGCTGGATCTGTCAAATCCTGCTACTTTCCGTGACCTTTCTAAGCCAATGGGAGCTCAGACAGAGAAACGGAGACAGATGTTCATCCAGAGATATGAAGAAGTAGAGAACAGTGAGGGTGAAGGTATGTGTTTAGCTCTTTAATTTTATTTTTTTCTTTGCCTGTTCACTGTACTTTTTGTTCAACTTTCTTTTCTCTGTAGGAGATTTGTCGGCACGATGCCACTACTGCACCCACTACTCCTCAGCCATCACTGTAGCATCCTTCCTTGTCAGGATGGAACCATTTTCACACACCTTCAAGACACTGCAGGTGAGGCCTTACACACCAGGAAGTGCATTGCAATATATCTAAACCCTCAAATCATGGTTGGTCATTTTCATGTCCTTAATATGGATACGCTTTTATTAGATATAAGTCTGTGGCTTCAGCGCCCACATTGAGTAGGTTCAGAAAATTTAGCCTGAATTGTTATCTTACTGACCCATTTCCAAATCTACTTCTTTAGTTCACACTAACATAGAATAGAAAATGGAAGACTTTTTATTTTGTATAATGTGCCCTAACATTAAATACATTACAAATACATACACTACAGAGACACTACATTTTTGTCTATTAGGCTATATAATACGTTTTAAATTGGCTATATCGCAGCAAACCTTAAGGTTAATGAATGTTAATGAATCAAAGAAAATCTAAACCTGACAGCTGCAGCACAAGATTTTCAGTGCTGCCAAATCTATTTTCCTTTAATGTAGGGCTCTAGATTCACACACAGATACATGCATACTAACACACAATAGAGTAGATGATAAATGTATGGTATGTAATGTATAAAGGTGCAGTATGATGCAGGTCAAAGGAGTGTAATCACGGTCTTGATTTTTCAAGAAGTAGTTCCGTTTATTATCAGTCTGTTTGCATTAACCCACAGACCTTTCCCAGTGCTTCAGATTCTAATTGACATTTATCATTTTGTGATTTTTTTTTTATTTTCTAACATAATCTTGCTAATAACATGACTCTAACATGAGCTATTTTCATCAGTCCAGATACTGTTTCAATGCTGTTTTTGGTATAAAAGCAGATTATAGGGAGATTTCAATATATATGCAAATAATTACAGAAAGCATCTAAAAGAAGCCAATGCAAAAACCCACAGATGTTACTGATTTACAATACAACATCCAATTGATTATAATGAAAAGGCATGCATATTTGATAGTCAGAATAAAGTAATAAAGATGTTAGTCTGGTGAATTACAGTGCCTTTTTGTCTTCTGAAGCGCATAATGGGTGTGTAGTAATATCCATAACTGGATTTACATCTCTAACTGAGTTTACCAGTATATATGCTATTTTCATTCATTGACATAATTGTTTTCCTCTAAATTACATTCTCTCTCATGAGATTTCCATCATAGATTATGGAATTTTACAGAAAGATGAAACGCTTCCTTCAAATAGTAGCAAATATTTCCTGCTTACATAATACAATGAAGAACATAAAATATGGTTCGCTACAGTGAATCAGGCAGACTACTTTATTAATATGCCTGTTGCAAAGTTTGGTTCAACAGTGTGCTGTGGGTCTGACACTGGTGTGCTCCGTCTTCCCACAGGGAGGGTTTGACATCCCGGAGCGTATGTTTTACAGTGTAAAGAAGGAGTGGGAGTCGGCCTCTAGAGACAACATGGGGGACGTCAGAGAACTGATCCCAGAGTTCTTCTACCTGCCGGACTTCCTGCTCAACTCCAACCGCATCCATCTGGGTCAGGCACAAAAATCCGCCTCTGTGTATCTAAATAAATGACTGAAAGTATGAATTTCCTGTTAAGATATTTGCCGTGGAGAAGCGACTTTGTAAGTTATGTGTCCAAACAATTAGACTCATTTATTCTATGTTTCTTATTGTCAGCAAATCCCATGAAATTCCTCAAATCAACAAAAATTCCCGATATCCAAACCCTGTCTAGGGCTCTCAACCTCAAGCCCATTAGTTTCAAAAAGATGTAAATCTTTAAAACCTGTATACCAGATATAATGTTAGTTTTTTTTTTTAAATAGTTATTTCTTGAAACAACTGGGCACTGTAGTTTTTAGTAAACATTATTGTAACTGGGGAAATTGTTGGATTATTTTCAGCATGCTTATTGAGACACATTTGGTGGTCTACTGAGTATTTACAGCGGCAGGATGGTGTATTTGGGATTGAAAATAATAATAAAATTAATAACAAAAATAAAATAAACTACTGTGCCCATGTTAGTCGTAATGAGGGAACATAGTACCCGGTGCAATAGTGTGGCTCACTGATGTGTTTCTAATAGTTTCTGGACAACATGAAGGTGTGTAGCACAAAGGAATTAGCTGTATTAGTCTCTGGCTACACAGCCAATACCTATTAGCACAATTTATTCTGCTTTTGGTCTTTCTTTGGAATTTGATGGCTGTGGAAAAATGTACAATATCATCAGCTGGTCAGTGGAATATGAAGCTGTTAGCAGGAAACCACTAATCCAAAATTTACTCCATTGGGCCACCAGTGGCAAAGAACTCCACAGATTATCTTTAAACGATTACACATGGTGATGTGACGTGCTGTATGTGCTGTATATCCATATCTCTGTAGGCTGTATGGAGGATGGTACCACTCTGGGAGATGTCGAGCTGCCTCCATGGGCAAAAGGTGATCCCCAGGAGTTCATTAGAATCCATCGAGAGGTTAGTGACCCCTGACCTCACCAGGCACGTCTGCTACAATTGGCCAGTCTGGCCTGTTATATAGAGGGTCTTTTCCCATAAGACCTAATAATGTTTGTCAATACTAGCTGGTGTATGTACACAGAAGATGCACTGTTTTATCTAAAACAAGTATCCACTGTAACAGTGCTGGGTTGCAGTCGATACCACAGTATAAGAGACAGATCTTAGTAAAAGCCACTGTCTTATTGTATTCTCAAAAGGCCATCTATTCTCATTGATTAGGTCAGTTATATTCTTTTAGTACTGACTTCTTTTCAAATATAATGACCAGTTGTCTTTCTTATCAAGAAAATGCATGAAAAAGACTGTATCTGAGATTTAGATGACATTGAAGGACAACAAGTCTATTTAACACTATTCAGACACAAAACTCTATTTTTCATAATGCAATTATTTCTGCCAACTGTATATGGGCTGAATATTCTCTCTCTGTTCTTTCCCTGTGTGGGGCTATTGTATATCTGTTCTTTTTCTCTCTGTTGGTCTGATTTCTACAGAGTGACCCTCCCTTTTGCCATTCCTGGGGCATCTAAGATGGTTATCACTCTGTAATCTACTGAACTACTCATATTGCCTACCATTCTCATAAAATTAGTCACTTTAGAAAATTGTTTTTTTCTTCCATAGACAAACTAACTCAGGACAATATATCCTTGTTATGATGGGTTGTTGTTTGTTTTTTTTGTTGTTATTGTTGTGGGTATTTTTTTTTTCAATTTTCTGATATTCCAGGATGGGTTTATTAAGATTGGGTGCAAGGATTACATGCTGGTCATAATGCCCTCTTTTCCTTATTAACTCTTCAAAACCAATCTCTGGTATATTCTACCCAAATCATTCTTTAATTCAAACATGCAGATATGCTCATAACTCAGCTGTGCAGCTTTCTGCTGTTCGAGACTTCTAAATTGACTTTTAGAAGAAATCATACAGTACCTGAATAATTTGGTTGTGTTTTCTCAGTTTTTTGTGTTTCTAAACTATTAACAGTTTGACTGATGGTTTTGGTCCCACTGTAATAACAATGCACAACACACCCCTGTATTTTAAGACTGCACAGTGCACGAATAGTAGTTTTGTAATATTACTTTACTAGGTGGTGTTAGTTTGTACAACAATCTCCTGCACTGTTTCCCTTAGGCC